AAAATAATTCGAAGTGGTCTGTATTCTGTCGAAACTGCCAGACGCGGATCGCGATTTCGATCTTTTTGGATCTCATCAGCGCGTCGCACGCAGCTCCGACAGAACACAGACCAACCTTTACCTGCTGTCTTAACAGCGCGTTTTAGAAAATAGTACAAATGGCGTGGTGAGTGCCATCTGTAGTACGATGCTACATTTTAGGATTACGTATGCTCCAGCTCCTTGTGGTATTTTCTTTAAAATTCCTAGTCTAAAGTTTCTCCACTGCTAGTGAGTTAGGCTAAATGTGCAATTTCTATTTTTGATATTTCAGGAAAAGTAGGAATTACAATAGATTCACGATGGGGCGAACCCAAAACAACTTCACCAAAAGATATTGCAGCAGCTGAACGTGCGATACAAATGAATGTAAGTCATTGTGAATATTCTGTAAATATTTTGTATAGATATGTGCTATCTCTGTTATGCTTTCAGTTTGGATGGTGGATGAACCCAATATTTTCAAACGACGGGGATTTCCCCAAAGTAATGAAAGACAGAATAGAATTTGTTAGTAAATCTCAAAACTTCAACGAGTCCAGATTGCCCACTTTAACATCTTCAGAAATTAAATACATTCAAGGAACCTATGATTTCCTCGGATTAAACCATTACACAACAAGATTTATCGAAGAAGGTAATTTAACTCCTTCTCAAGTACCATCGTTTGATGACGATGTTGGAGTTAAAGCAGTAGTAGACCCAAAATGGAAACAATCAGCTGCCGACTGGATATTTGTAGTTCCCTGGGGATTTAGAAAACTCCTCAACTGGATACGTGTGAAATACAATAACCCTTTGGTTTTTGTCACCGAAAATGGGTATGCTGATAAGGGAGAAGTGAACGATGTCGGCAGAGTTGACTACCATAATGTGCGTAAACATTCAAAAATAAAGTATACCTATATTTGTATCTATCCACATATATATATCTACCATTTTTACAAAATTTTAGAAGTAGAGAAACTTAACAGCGGACAATTACTTTTCTTTTTATTTTATAATGCGTTGATACTTTTGTTTAAAAATCTGGAGAAATATTATACTGAATTTACTGTAGTCAATTTTCCATACAAAGAAGAGAAAACGTTATCTATTTCTCTTTTTTAATATTCTTACAGCAATATCTGACACAACTGCTGCATGCAATTGAGGACGGTTGCAATGTGCAACGCTATACAATATGGAGCTTAATTGATAATATGGAGTGGTCATCCGGCTACACGTAAGCAAAAAGATATTATTCATATTTTTGATTAATTTCATTTAACAAGCTTTCATGGAGATATATAGAGGTCGCGAGTGATAAGGTCAAGAATAAATCAATGAAATTGACGTTTTTCAAAGGAATATGTTTTTCAAAAATGAGTATGAAAACTACATAGAAATCCAATGACATTTTTAATTATTAATAATGGTTAATATGAAATATTAATGTGAAACTTCATTTTCAATTTTCTATCCACTACAAACTACATCAAGTTAATGAGGGAAAATTTCTGTTGCTGTTGTCACATCCCCGTCGGAAATAGAACCCGGGACCTTTGACCTCTGGTCCTGGATAGATAATCGAAAATGAATTTTCACATTAGTATTACATAAAAACCATTAGCGATAATTAAGTATCAGAACGTCACATTTCAATGTTTTATTGAAAAAACTACACTACTTATTACCTTGACTTCACGAAGTAAATTGAACAACGTCTGTGGATATTTTCATATCAAAGGAGAAGCCTTCATCGAATTATTACAAAATTAGAAAAATTGAGCTGTTATTTTTACTTAAAATGGACCTACTATGAAGTTATTTCACATCTAGTTTTAAATTCACCTAAAATTCGAAAAAGCAACCCCAATTTTCGGTTATTAGGTAATTGCTATTTTCACTTGCACATTAAAGATCATAACTCATAAAAAAGTAAGCAGTAAATATGTAGAATACACTAAATAACTGAAACCTCAATGCTAAAAAACCGTCCCTGAAGAAGGTAACTATGTTACTGAAAAGTACTTCGAAATTGGGTCGCTGAGTCTTGCGCTGTTTAATATGTTTTTCATATTATATTTATCAGTAAACAATACACCTATTTCATATGTTTTTTAGCTTAAAATTCGGTCTATACCACGTCGACTTCAACAGCTCTACTAGAACCCGAACACCAAAAAAATCTGCCAGTTTCTATAAAAGTGTTATCAACTACAGAGGCTTGCCAAAGTTTACTAAGGGGAAGCTCTATTCGTAGAAATATATTACAGGGGCAAAAAGTGATATTACGTATTAGGTTCTGAATGCTTGCCAAGCATTCGGTGAAGTTTTGTACTTTACAAAGTCTACAACTGCAGTAATCAATTTTAATTTGACAAAAAGAAAAAAGTTCGATCAATAAAATCAACGAAAAGTGAGTTAGTACATTTGAAAAACTACATACATATATATAGTTTTAGATAAAGGTACTATTTTGTTGAAAAGTAAATTATTTTAATGAAAAACTAGTGATAACATATTTAAACCTATATTCGATTAGTGCATACAAATCTATGTCAAATTTCGATTAGTTTTTATCATCAAAATGATCGGTACGAAAATAATAAATGGTCAGTATGGAAATGCTAAACGGTCAATAATTGTGTAGGTATTAATTGTTTTGTTAGTTATCTAGTTTACATTTAAATAGTGACCTCTTTGATTCAAATTCTAACCATTTATACTTAAATACTAATCCTTCATATTTGCATACTTTCCATCAAAGGATACCGACCATATGGATTTATATACTACCCACTAAACTAAAATCCATTTGAAACTACTTAATTTTGATAATACGCAGTAGTACATAATATTCTTTTTTATCTAAATAAAATATAAAATAAAAAGTTAGCTAATGTATTCTTATATTAAATGCATGTTTCCTACTTTTTGTTTATTTTTCCTTATTTACCTTCGTCCCTGCCACTTCGGAAAACACGTCTCATTACGATATCCGTTACATTTCAAAACATTTAAAAATTTTATCTTTACAAACACGAAACAAGGTTTCAGATAAACTTAACTAATGTTAAATTATCATCCATTGCAACAAGGAAAATAAACTAAACAATCTTATTAAAAGTCGAAAGGAACTGTCCCTTTATAATTCCACTGTAATAAAACCTAATATTAAATTTTAAACAGTGCAGTAACAACAGTAGCAGTGTAAATGTATCTTAAAATTATTATATTCATTGCGTTTATAAAATTTATCAGAAATGGTGATTGTCAAATTCATGAATTTCCTTCTTATTTCGAGTTTGGAATTTCGACAAGCGCATATCAAATCGAAGGTGCTTGGAACGAAGACGGTAAGTGCCAAAAAATTGTTTCAAAATTTTTAAACATTGAATGATGGAAAAATTTCAAACAATAACTAACAGACTTACTAATTAATTGACTTTATTCTGGAATTAAGAATTTTAATGTCAAGATCTTTATCCAAAAGACTTATAACGATTGTTCCCCTTATCCATAACATTAAAGTCAATGTATGAACAGTAGGCTCAGAAAAGGTAGTCAAAAACTAATGAAAAATTTCCACGGGATCGACCTGCGACCCCATTAAAAAAAATAGTAAAAAATCGAAGTTTCAAAAACCTTTTTGTTCCAAGAGAANATATTTAATCTAGACCTCTATCTTAAACTCAAAGAATTATACTATACGGTCGCAAGTATTATCCCAAAAGAAGTTTTGAAAATGTCTTAAACTATAAAAATAAACAATAAGACTGTGCTAATGATCCATAGATTAAATCAAATACTTCAGTAATATCGAATACAAAAGGATTACTTTACTTTTACTAACATTCATTTAAGGGTGAGTACAAATCTGAACCACAATAGGGTTGTAAATAACATATTGTAAAACCAAATGTTCTCAATCGCATCTAAAAATTTCCACTTGTTTGGCCAATATAGAGGGAGTTACAATCTCTACAAATCGATTTATTTTTTAAATATATATTTCGTATAAAAATTGTTTCTTCCTTTTTATTATTAACCAATTAATTTCGGTTTATGTAACGTACTAAAAATCTTGTTTACTTAAGGGAAAATTTAACAATATCTTGCAGGAAAGGGTGAGAATATTTGGGACCGATTTACGCATGAGTATCCAAATAGAATAGCAGATAGAAGCACAGGCGATATTGCTTGTGACTCATACCGCCAGTGGGAAAATGATATAAATCTAGTAAAAGATTTAGGTGTGACGTATTATAGATTTTCCATATCCTGGTCTCGACTCCTTCCGACTGGTTTCAGTAACAAAATAAATCCAGCAGATAATTAAGTATCAGAACGTCACATTTCAATGTTTTATTGAAAAAACTACACTACTTATTACCTTGACTTCACGAAGTAAATTGAACAACGTCTGTGGATATTTTCATATCAAAGNGATATTGCTTGTGACTCATACCGCCAGTGGGAAAATGATATAAATCTAGTAAAAGATTTAGGTGTGACGTATTATAGATTTTCCATATCCTGGTCTCGACTCCTTCCGACTGGTTTCAGTAACAAAATAAATCCAGCAGGAGTTCGATACTACAACAATATAATCGACAAATTACTCCAGAACGACATCGAGCCCATGGTAACACTTTACCATTGGGACTTGCCACAACCTTTACAGGACTTGGGAGGACTGACAAATCCTGTGATAGCGAAATATTTCCGTGATTACGCCATTGTTGTCTATACTTTATTTGGAGACAGGGTTAAAAAATGGATAACGTTCAACGAACCGTGGTCGATATGCTTATCAACATATGAAAATGGGAACCACGCTCCTGGAATTGCCATGCCTGGAATTGGATGCTACCTATGCTCAAAAGTATTATTATTAGCTCATGCCAAAGCGTACCATGCATATGACAAAAGGTTTAGGAAAACACAAAACGGTACTCATTGACTACCAAAAATATGTATTTGTTATTATTTATCAAAAAAGTGCTATATTTTGTTTAACTTCCGATGATCTAGTAAAAATTTCTTACGAAAAGGGGGATCGGTTAGTAAATTACCTATTTTTCTTTGAACGATTGAGTTATTTTTGTTGTACGGTGACATCATGCTCTCTTTGTACAAGTCGTCCATCCACCTATGACTTCAACTGTACGAAGAGATAAAAATTACTTAGTGCGGGATCTGGACTATAGGATAGATGCTCTTGATTTTCGTACATAACAATGGACGACTGCACTGTGACAGTATGACAACAAGTTTTCCCAAGCAATTCAAGTAGGACGTTTTCAATTATCCGTCATGCAATTCAGACCTCGCATACAGTGATCTTCACCTCTTCGAATAGTTTAAGACGTGGTTGGATGGTTAACACTTTACCAACATCAGGACGATGTCAATATGTATTTGATCACACTGGAGGAGAATTTCTTCGGAGATAAATCAATAAATATTTTAGGAATTGTTGGGATAACTATAAGTACCTTCTGGTATGAATCCAAAACATTATCAGAAAAGGATGCTGTAGCAACTGAACGAGCTCTACAGATGAATGTAAGATATTGGGAATGTTCCGATTAATTAGAAATTAGATTACTATCGAAACGTATTATTTTTATTACTTTCTAGTTTGGATGGTGCATGAACCCAATATTTTCAAACAAAGGGGATTTCCCCAAAGTAATGAAAGACAGAATAGAATTTGTCAGTAAATCTCAAAACTTCAGCGAGTCCAGATTACCCACTTTAACACCTTCAGAAATTAAATACATTCAAGGAACCTATGACTTTCTCGGGTTAAACCATTACACTACGAGATTTATCGAAGAAGGTAATTTAACTCCTTCTCAAGTACCATCGTTTGATGACGATGTTGGAGTTAAAATGGAAGTCGACCCAAAATGGGAAAAATCAGCTGCTCATTGGCTATTCGTGGTTCCCTGGGGATTCAGAAGACTCCTCAATTGGATACGGGTGAAATACAACAACCCCCTAGTTTTTGTCACTGAAAATGGTTATCCTGATAAAGGAGAATTGAATGATGAAGCTAGAATACGTTATCATAATGTGCGTAGATATTTATACAACGTATTTTATTCCTTGAAATTAACTAAGTACAAAAATATCTGCATTTAAAAATGAGTAAATATGAAAATGATCAGTTTCCCTTTTCAATTTCAAAAATGTTGGTATTGATTTATAACCAATTATTATCTTAAATCGCTAATTTAGAAATCGTTGTTGTCTCCCATTTTACATACAAAAAAAAAACGTAATTTGCTACATATATTTTTTCAGCAATATCTTACGGAATTGTTGAATTCAATTAATGATGGATGTAATGTTCAACGTTACACATTATGGAGTTTAACTGATAATATGGAATGGTCTTCCGGTTACACGTAAGCCAAAAGATATTATTGTTCTTTTTGGGTCTCTTCATGTCAATATACATATTTCAAACTTGCATTTATGAATTGAATAAAATAAATATAAAATGTTAGTAAACAAACGTCTCTTTCTTGTAGGTTGAAATTTGGTCTGTACTATGTCGATTTCAACAACTCAAGCAGGCCACGATTACCAAAATCATCTGCCAGTTACTACAAAGGTGTAATCAACAACAGAAGCCTGCCAAATTTTACTAATTGTTAGGGAAGGTTTTATGTGTGAAAATATACTTAAACTTAAGTACCTAACTTAATTGTTTTTTAGTATTGCACTCCAATTCTTGATTAATAGTTTCAATTAATAGTACGTAGTATTACACTGTCATAAAAATAAACTGTATTTCTAATGAATAAAATCAAATGGAAAATCACACTTAAATATTAGAGTTTAAATTTGTGGAGTCTCCTTAATACGATATTCGCTGATTTAACGTTGTAAGTCGTGGAGACTATTTAAAGGACTGCAATTATCCTAAAGGAATTAGTGATTTAAACTCTTATAGTCAAATATTTAATCTAGACCTCTATCTTAAACTCAAAGAATTATACTATACGGTCGCAAGTATTATCCCAAAAGAAGTTTTGAAAATGTCTTAAACTATAAAAATAAACAATAAGACTGTGCTAATGATCCATAGATTAAATCAAATACTTCAGTAATATCGAATACAAAAGGATTACTTTACTTTTACTAACATTCATTTAAGGGTGAGTACAAATCTGAACCACAATAGGGTTGTAAATAACATATTGTAAAACCAAAATTGACGTNTTATTAGTCAATCCGCAACCGTTGCCGTTTACATTTTTCATCGATGTAATTGCTTAACTGTTAACGCAATCTCTCTATACGTTGTCAATTCACGCCCAGGGCCGGCTTCGGATTTCAATTGCGTCTGCTTTTGTCCCTTACTCGATGGACGTCCAAAGATTATTAAGTATCGCAAGTTGTTGATATTTACCTTATTAGTCAATCCGCAACCGTTGCCGTTTACATTTTTCATCGATGTAATTGCTTAACTGTTAACGCAATCTCTCTATACGTTGTCAATTCACGCCCAGGGCCGGCTTCGGATTTCAATTGCGTCTGCGTTTGTCCCTTACTCGTCATGCGATTTCCTATTGCACCTAGTTAACTCCAAAAAGTTTGCTACTTATTTCAGAAACACCGTATATACTTGTTGAGGCTTTTCTTCTTTACTTATCAATTGTAAAATGAAATTAATATAGGTAGGTACTCAGCCTCTTCCCATTCTCACTTAACATCTCACTACACTCATCCATACTTTCATCACATTTTCCCAATACATACAGCAACGTTTCCTCGCTCATTTCATCCTTCTTCATCCAGAAGTTACATTCATTTCCCATTCTAAACCTTACTGTTACATTCATCTCTACTCTCTCATTTCTTTTGAAATTACTTTTGACATCACAGTAACTATCTGCAAATTTTAGGTAAAGGGGAAAATATCTGGGACCACTTTACTCACAATTTTCCAAACAGTACAGCAGATAGAACCAATGGTGATATTGCTTGTGACTCGTACCATCTTTGGAAAAACGATATCGCTCTTCTTAAATATTTGAATGTCAGTTTTTACAGATTTTCAATTTCTTGGTCAAGAATCCTTCCAACGGGATTTACTAATACGATAAATTTAGACGGTGTTCGATACTACAACAACATTATCGACGAATTAATTAGAAACAAGATTGAACCGATGGTAACCCTGTACCATTGGGACTTACCACAACCAATACAAGATATTGGTGGGATGACAAACCCATTAATTGCTGATTATTTTGTTGATTACGCTACAACAGCGTTTTATTTTTTTGGCGACAGAGTAAAAACTTGGATAACATTCAATGAACCTATCAAAATATGTCTTCAAGGATATGAAAATGGTTTATATGCCCCGGGAATTAAATCAAGGGGTATTGGATGTTATTTGTGCTCCAAAACACTTCTCATCGATGTAATTGCTTAACTGTTAACGCAATCTCTCTATACGTTGTCAATTCACGCCCAGGGCCGGCTTCGGATTTCAATTGCGTCTGCTTTTGTCCCTTACTCGATGGACGTCCAAAGATTATTAAGTATCGCAAGTTGTTGATATTTACCTTATTAGTCAATCCGCAACCGTTGCCGTTTACATTTTTCATCGATGTAATTGCTTATTAAAAATTGGTAGTTCACATTATATTGAAACATCAATTTATAATTTAGATTAATAAATAATTTAGAACATTTAGTTTAATTAGGTATATAAACTGAGTTTTATTTATCTAATTACAAAAGCAATAAAGCTAAACGATTTTAAATGATAATAAAGAAGAAAACCAGAAATAGCTGCTTCAGGGAATTGTAGAGTCCATAAAAACCTTGATTAAATTTTCTTATTTAAAGCAATTCATACGTAAGAGCACATTTTACTTATTAAAAAGTAGAATACAAAAAAATTACATTCAGTTTGTTAATCTAACGTCTGCTTTTCGGTTATGAATTAATTTATTATTGAAGAATACATAACTCGGAAAAACTTTACAAAAAAAGCTTAAGAACTTTCTTATCGAGATTAAAAAAACCAAGTAATATAAAAAATTGCTCCAGGCAAAAAAGCTGCTTTTTAGCATTTGTTTAAATAATCGTGATTTAAAGAATACTCGATCGTGTTACCGGCTGAATACCTATATCGTTGGATTCAAGAGGATCTTCCGAACAAAATTGCGTAAAAAACATTATCTGAATAATTTTCCCTCTCACCCGCCTATATTGCCTGGACTAGAAAATAAAAATAACATTTTATCTTAAAGCTTAATAACATTAAATTTTTTAACCAAACTCATTTCTATACAACAATTACCAATTACCTAACATTGCCNTTGAAAGCGAAAACGTATTAAATATCTCTCTTGAGTCAAAAGGGAATTAATATGTCATTATTCCTTTCCCTAGAACACGAGGGTCTGAATCCATAAGAAATACAGTCTGACCAATTCAAACTTGAAACTAATTTTAAGTTAAACCAATAATTGAAGACTATTCAATCAATTTTTTTTTCGAACTTTTATAAATGTTTCTACTAATATAACCAAATGGAAGATAAAAAGTCAATGTCGATACGTTAGTTAGTAGCGTATGGACAAGAGAAGGGGCAACATAACGCATGCGTGTAAGTTTCGTTTGATATTGTTGCATCAAGTGCCAGTACATGAAAAATACTATATATTTAAAATATTGATCTAGCTTATGGTATTCAGCTTACCCTTAAACCTTCAACATTTACATAATTACCACAATCACCGAGAAATATCCCTATAGGAAATACAAAAAAGTATATATATTTTTGTACTTATTATTTTTTGATTGAAACGTTCAAAGTTATTTTTTTACAATTCGTCTACTAATAAACCACAACTATACAAAACTATTTATTTTTTTTTTAATAACACAATTGAATTAGTTGATTCTAAACGATTTATAAAACCTGTGAGGTATGAAAAACTGAAAAGGGCTCTTAAATTATTCGATGAACTTTAGTAAGTTTCATCTCAATATTGTTTGATGGCTCGGGAAATTCTCCTTTGTCATATTTAACAGACGATCTCGTTTATACTTCCTAAAAACCGTGACGATTACACAACTTTCCAAAACACCTACAAAATTTTTGTTAATTGAAACCAATTCCCTGTGATGTAGGACCATAAACATTACCTATAGCAATTACTTTAGTTATTCAACAACAGTATAAGCATTTACTTAATTAATTTTTTATTTTAAACATTCTTAATGATTTTTGGTTTTTAATACTTATTTAAACGCAAAACAAGAAACAATAATTTTGAATACATATTTTTCAGGACAGCATCATGGCTACTATCTATAATATAATTAAAAAATAGACAAAACCATGTGTAATAAAATAGTTTTAGTATTAGTGGTGGTAGCAATTGGCAAATGTCACATTCACAATAAATTTCCAGAGAATTTCAAGTTTGGAGTGGCCTCATCAGCCTATCAAATAGAAGGAGGATGGAACGCAAACGGTAAAACTAATTTATTATTTTCTTGTACGAAGCAATGGTTCAGTTTTGTTAAATACAGGGTGTTTCTGAAATAAGTAGCAAGTAGCAGAAGGTGGCAGGACACTAAAAGTCAAGTAAAAGTATTTGAAAGTACAATCAAGGGTCACTCCGACCCTGGTCGGATCACCCAGGGAAGTACAACATTGCAACGCTGCATTCCATCAGGTGCAGCATTCGTGTTGCAGGAGTAGTTGTTTTGAATTTTATGTTCTTAGTAGCATGTCGAGATGTACTTTAAATTGTAGTTCACATTATCAGCGATGAATAAAGTAGTTATTTAATTAATTGCTACCGTAATGGACGTCTAAAGATTATTAAGTATTGCAAGTTGTTGATATTCACTTTATTAGTCAATCCGCAACCGTCGCCGTTTACATTTTTCATCGATGTAATTGCTTAACTGTTAACGCAATCTCTCTATACGTTGTCAATTCACGCCCAGGGCCGGCTTCGGATTTCAATTGCGTCTGCGTTTGTCCCTTACTCGTCATGCGATTTCCTATTGCACCTAGTTAACTCCAAAAAGTTTGCTACTTATTTCAGAAACACCGTATATACTTGTTGAGGCTTTTCTTCTTTACTTATCAATTGTAAAATGAAATTAATATAGGTAGGTACTCAGCCTCTTCCCATTCTCACTTAACATCTCACTACACTCATCCATACTTTCATCACATTTTCCCAATACATACAGCAACGTTTCCTCGCTCATTTCATCCTTCTTCATCCAGAAGTTACATTCATTTCCCATTCTAAACCTTACTGTTACATTCATCTCTACTCTCTCATTTCTTTTGAAATTACTTTTGACATCACAGTAACTATCTGCAAATTTTAGGTAAAGGGGAAAATATCTGGGACCACTTTACTCACAATTTTCCAAACAGTACAGCAGATAGAACCAATGGTGATATTGCTTGTGACTCGTACCATCTTTGGAAAAACGATATCGCTCTTCTTAAATATTTGAATGTCAGTTTTTACAGATTTTCAATTTCTTGGTCAAGAATCCTTCCAACGGGATTTACTAATACGATAAATTTAGACGGTGTTCGATACTACAACAACATTATCGACGAATTAATTAGAAACAAGATTGAACCGATGGTAACCCTGTACCATTGGGACTTACCACAACCAATACAAGATATTGGTGGGATGACAAACCCATTAATTGCTGATTATTTTGTTGATTACGCTACAACAGCGTTTTATTTTTTTGGCGACAGAGTAAAAACTTGGATAACATTCAATGAACCTATCAAAATATGTCTTCAAGGATATGAAAATGGTTTATATGCCCCGGGAATTAAATCAAGGGGTATTGGATGTTATTTGTGCTCCAAAACACTTCTTTTGGCGCACGCTAATACATATCATGTTTATAAAAGTTATTTTAAATCAGTACAGCATGGTAAGTATTAAAAAATCTCCAAAAAAACATGTAAAAGAGGTTTGAGCAATAAGGAAAGTTAAATTCTTCAAAAAGACAAAATAAAAATGTAAATGTATTTTCACATTATACAAAATTTGTAAATTAGCCAAAAGTATTTGTATTGTTTAGTTCTTCAGTCAAAAATTTGGAATTCCTTTATACTCCAATTGGATAATGATCATGGAAAGACTATTAAGCCCTAATGTACGTAAAATATCTTTTTAAAATATGTAGATGTCTGTTTTAGGTAAAGTGGGAATTGCGATTGATTCCGATTGGTACGAACCCAAAACAAATTCAAAAGAGGATGAAAAATCTGTTGAACGTGTACTACAAATGAATGTAATAGCAAATCCTTTTTAAAAACAACCTACAAATATACAGAAATTATTTTGTTGTTAGTTTGGATGGTGGATAAATCCGATTTTCTCTAAAGGCGGAAATTACCCTAGAATTATGAGAGAACGAATTGACAAGTTCAGCAAAACTCAAAATTTTAGTATATCACGACTTCCAGTGTTAACATCTTCTGAAATAAGGACAATTAAGGGAACCTACGACTTTTTAGGATTAAACCATTACAGTTCTAAACTTGTTAAAGCAAGAACGTCATTACTTTCTAGGATGCCTTCATTTGATAACGACGTTAGAGTTGATATTGAAACGGATCCTAATTGGGAGAAGTCTGCACTCGAGTTAATGCCTGTAGTTCCTTGGGGATTAAGGAAGCTCCTTAATTGGATCAGAAAAATGTATAATAACCCGACAGTGTATATTACCGAAAACGGTTATCCAGATAAAGGAGGCTTAGACGATGAAGATAGGATTAGCTACCATACAGTAGGTCAATTGTTTTAGCAATTAGTAAAATACTTCGTATTTATTGAGATAGGGTTGTTAGTTCGACCTCCACTCTTTCTCTTCTCTTTACTCTTGTCCCTACCTCCAGAAAATTCCTTCTTTACTCCTACTTCCTACCCTTGATATGTCTCTACCTAATTCTTCATGTTTCAGAACGTGTCCTATAATCCTTATTGACCCCTGTTTTCTTCTATTTCTAATATCTCCTCATTCTTGGCCTTTTCTATCTACGATATATTCATTATCCTTCTGTAACACTTTTATTTTAATTTTTGTTTTACCTACGTATTTTAGCAATATTTAAATGAGCTTATTAATGCAATACGAGATGGATGCAATGTGCAGCGATATACAATTTGGAGTTTAATGGATAGCATGGAGTGGACTTCTGGATACAAGTAAGTCCAAAAATTTGTTTATTTTTATTCAAAAAGAAAGCTTACTATCAATAAGAAAATCAGCTTGTGAAATTTACTTTAAATAATTGAGCCACAGCCCATTATAGAAACCTATGTTTATAAGAAGTTCGGAAAATTGTATCATTTTCGGGGCCATTTTTAGCCCCGTCGGAAATGGTAATTGTGAACTTTGAAAATGCATTCGATGTATCGAAAGCTGCACTTTTAAACAGTTTAAACAGCTTTTAAAATTAGCTTTAAATAATTGAACTACAGCCCATCAAAGAGACCTATGTTAATAAGAAATTTCGAAACTTCGATCACTTTCAGGGTCATTTTTAGCACCGTCGGAAAGTATAATTTTGAACTTTGATAATACATTCGATGCACGAAAATCTGTACTTTCCAATAGTTCAAACAGCTTGTGAAATTTTCTTTAAATAATTGAATTACAGCCCATCATAGAGACCAATGTTTATAAGAAATTCGGAAAATTGTATCGTTTTCGGCAGCACCGTCGGAAAGTGTAATTTTGTACTTTGAAAATGCATTTGATGCATCGAAATCTGCACTTTTAAATAGCTTACATCGCTTTTCAAATTAACTTCAAATAATTGAACTGCAGTTCATCAAAGAGACCTATGTTTATAAGAAGTTCAGAAAACCTATGTTAATAAAAAAAATAGTATTCATAATAATACACATTTAAGAAATTGTTGTAGAATTAAATTTGGTAAATGNGTTCAGAAAACCTATGTTAATAAAAAGAATAGTATTCATAATAATACACATTTAAGAAATTGTTGTAGAATTAAATTTGGTTTGTATCATGTGGACTTCAGTGACGAAAATCGACCTCGAACACCAAAAAAATCAGCTAGTTTTTATAAGAATGTTATCAGAGATCATGGAGTGCCAAACATCAAACGGAATATTAATTAATAAAAGTAATCTTTTGCAAGCAAAATTTTTTTACGTTAAAGCATTTCCATATAGTATAATAAAATAATATTTAATTACAGAAAATGTAGAATTAGATAAATAAATAATAGATCAAATAACTGGGGTGTCTCTTTACTTTTGTATTACTGATTATGCACAGTGGCGGGATTGTAAGTACAGGATATATACCTATTAGTGAATTAATTTAACCCACTGCAAACAATCTCTAATTAATTAGAAAAAAATTGTTGCCGTTATCACTCTCTTGCCGGGAATCGAACCCGAGCATCGAGAAAAATGTTACTTTTGTTTGTGTAAAAACCTATCACTGAATTTAAAATGAAAATATTACAGCATCAGAATAATATTTAATTATAACAAAAAGACTGAGAAAAGAACCATTAAATTCCTGTTTAAGACATTTGGATTGAGTATGAAGTCATCTAATGCGAAAAGTCCTTTGAATAAATCGGTTATTTGAAAGCGAAAACGTATTAAATATCTCTCTTGAGTCAAAAGGGAATTAATATGTCATTATTCCTTTCCCTAGAACACGAGGGTCTGAATCCATAAGAAATACAGTCTGACCAATTCAAACTTGAAACTAATTTTAAGTTAAACCAATAATTGAAGACTATTCAATCAATTTTTTTTTCGAACTTTTATAAATGTTTCTACTAATATAAGCAAATGGAAGATAAAAAGTCAATGTCGATACGTTAGTTAGTAGCGTATGGACAAGAGAAGGGGCAACATAACGCATGCGTGTAAGTTTCGTTTGATATTGTTGCATCAAGTGCCAGAACATGAAAAATACTATATATTTAAAATATTGATCTAGCTTATGGTATTCAGCTTACCCTTAAACCTTCAACATTTACATAATTACCACAATCACCGAGAAATATCCCTATAGGAAATACAAAAAAGTATATATATTTTTGTACTTATTATTTTTTGATTGAAACGTTCAAAGTTATTTTTTTACAATTCGTCTACTAATAAACCACAACTATACAAAACTATTTATTTTTTTTTTAATAACACAATTGAATTAGTTGATTCTAAACGATTTATAAAACCTGTGAGGTATGAAAAACTGAAAAGGGCTCTTAAATTATTCGATGAACTTTAGTAAGTTTCATCTCAATATTGTTTGATGGCTCGGGAAATTCTCCTTTGTCATATTTAACAGACGATCTCGTTTATACTTCCTAAAAACCGTGACGATTACACAACTTTCCAAAACACCTACAAAATTTTTGTTAATTGAAACCAATTCCCTGTGATGTAGGACCATAAACATTACCTATAGCAATTACTTTAGTTATTCAACAACAGTATAAGCATTTACTTAATTAATTTTTTATTTTAAACATTCTTAATGATTTTTGGTTTTTAATACTTATTTAAACGCAAAACAAGAAACAATAATTTTGAATACATATTTTTCAGGACAGCATCAGTTCATCTACTTGCCCCAAAAGCCTTTACCAATTTGTCATAATGTAATTAATTTCCGAGTATAGTCAAACTCTATATCTCTAAATCAGTCTTGATATTAGTTTGTTCTCTTTAACTCGATTTTTTGTCTAACGTTTTACATTATAAATTGTCACTTTTATTTGATCATAAGTTTACTGTAGGAAAAGACAACACTGACGAAGTACTTTCTAAAATTGTAAGGGTTATTAGAGGCGGGCTTAACAACAGTAGGTTTTATAGGTACATAAGCTGCTGCAGTTGGTGCTCCAGGAAATTGTGTAAAAGTGACTCTATTGCAATCCACAGCAACTTGATTTTAAATCGGTCGTAAAAATGCCATAAACGACTACGTGTACATAACATTCACTACGTAACGTACCATCAGCGAGATAATCTACTATCCGCCGATGTTCCGACCACCCTACGACCACCCGAATTTCCCCGGACAGTTTGGGGTGCAAGCGGCGCGCTCCCGTCGCGCGGGCCACCGTCGTCGCCGCCAACTTTGTCTAGTTTTAGTTGATGGCACAGCATAACGTACAACAGTTCGAATCACGACCTGACCGACGCATCTCAAAAAACGACGCTCATCCGAAACCGGTGAACAATTTCGGACAACTTTTCCGAAACATTTTCCATCCTAACTGCCAGAACTGATGCGAAATCGTATTGAAATAAGAACGAAAAATTAGTAAGTACAATTTTTTTATATTCCGTTATTTCTTTTATTTAATTTTTAACAGTTTTACTAAATAAAATTTCACGGATGTGTCTCGTAAAATTAATTGCTTTAAAAAATGTTCAGGAAGTATAATGTAGAAAATGTTGATTTTGGACAAAAAATACTAGGCAAAATTTGATTTGGTGAAGCTATTACAAATTAGCAACAAAACAAAATAAGTACTTAAAATCAGATAAAAAATCAAAATTTTTTAAAGTGCATGATTTTTCACAGGATTAAAAGTGATTAAATTTTGTCGTCATTAAATTTTCTATTTCATTTCTTGCCGTATTCACCAATTCAAATGTGATTTCTCTTAGGCGACTTACTAACTAAAGTAATTTTGAATACACAACCTCTGTGTAAGTCCCGAAATTCCTTAAACATGTGGAAAATTCGCGCTAAAGGAAAAATAAACAGCAGGAACAATTCTCAATTCACAATTACTCTGAAACTAAAACTAGGACAAGAGTATTTTTAACATCCGAACACTTATTTTGAACCAGCTGAAGTGAAGTCGAAGAATTTTTAGCTCGACACAATATTTTTACCCTTTTAAACTGCTAGAAAAAATAGCGGACAAGGATGTATGATACTTGACCTGCTAGCGTGTCGGGAGTTCCGCACTACTAGTAATATATCACTTACTTTATTAGAAATAACGTAGAACGTTTCGACAAAATGTACTTTTCTATCTTTTTGGTCTACTGAATTTTAAGTAATTAATTAAAATTTACAATATTTGGAAAAAATTCTAGATGGGGATAACATGCTTTTGGAGTAGGTTCATTCATTCAAATGTTTGAAAAAAATGCTTTCAGTTTCCTTGCAACCGGACCTTTCAAAAGAAAGCCCACTCGATACGCGTTACAAAAATTCGTTTTCTTTGGTCAATCTAAAACTATAACAGAATAGCAAATATTTTTTAAATAAAAAATGCGATCATTAATAGTCTTGATTAGTATGTGGCTCAGGGAATAAAACTGCCCTTGTTTACGCCTAGGCGAATATATAACATTAAAAGATATTATTAGTACGAAGCCCTTATAAAATGTACTACTATTATTTAAAACTAAATAAAAAGATTCTAAATTTTTTAACGTAAAATCTCTTTGCGATGATAATAATCAGAGGGTGAAAAACATGTTTATGAACTTATCTTATTACGAATTACAATAACAGTAATGGTTTGTTGTTGTTGTTCAACTGTAATGAGTTTTAAATGAAATTGTGGCAAATGATAGATACAAAATTTATTTAAGAAAAGTAATTATGCAAATTAAGTACGTAAGTAAGCTAAAATTGACTACACTATCATTCGAAAAGATTTTCGTATATTTAAACTTTAAGTACTTATTAATAATTAAACAATAATTAATAGAGTAACTCATTAACTTGCTGCTTCTTAAAATTTGAAGTAATACTTCAAATAATAAAGCACAATAAACGTATGCAATACTATTCAATTTTCGTTATAAAATGAGGTCACATTTAAAATATTTCCGGTAGTATGTAAATATATCAAAACTAACAACAGATGTCTGACCTTTGAGCAACATGCCAAAAGGTCAAGTTTAAACACTGTACACTATTTCACTTCAATAGTAAACCGATGTTAAGAAAGATAACGCCTGCCGCACTGGAAAAATATTAACAACTTCTTGTTTTTATAATAATGTACAGAATTGTGGCAATTTAATACGACACGTATGAAATATCTGAAATTGTTGTAGATGGTATTTAAAAGTAAAACCGCGTATCTTACCGCTATTTCTCCTTCCAGGAAATTCTAAGTATCTTATCAGGCGAAATGCTTAAGTATTATTTAAACAGCGAAACGTGTTGTTTACTAATGCAGGTAAAAAGTAGTGAACATGCTATCTCATCTTACCACAATTTAAACATCTTATAAATCATAATTTTAAGTCATGAGTGCAATTTAATGGTAAATAATTAAAGATGGGGCAGATCCCCGGCGTTAATCCGGTACGACGGACCTTTTAGGATCCAGCCGGGTACCAGATGATGGTACTGGTATCCAACAGTGCCAGGTGATAGAACCACAGCGAAAAAAGTAACAATAATAAAACCATACACTTCTTATTATTAAAACTCGTTTTTATGGTGATAGTAGTTTTACGAAAGCACTCTCATACGTTAGTTCTGTCATGAAAGTAAAATGTCTAATTACTAATAATGATAGAAAAAATAATAGCAACATGGCTGAAATTGAGATATTAATTGCAGCAGTTGATAAAATAGTAAAACGGTAAAGAACTGTGAATGAGGAAGTAGATCCAACAAAGGAATACAGTGGGGACTTCAAAAGGACTAATATCAAGTAGAAGATTTATAAATTTGTATTTTTTTGTCAAAATGATGAAAGAACCTACTTGTTATTGCAAAAGTAAAGCTATTAATTAATCGAAAAATTTAAATTTAAAGAGCAATCTTTTAACTATCACACATTAATAAAGTGCATTAAAAAAAGAATACAAATTTGCGTCGCTAATTTGGCTGTACTGTCATAACGAGTTTTTCTATTCATACAGTTCAACGCTTATCACGGTGGAAATGATGTTTAAATAAATCGAAAATATAGCGTTAAGTACATAAATTAATTTGGCTTAGAAAGGGTAGGTATTAACATATATATTATAGCCTACATATACAATCATTACTGCATTGATTTCGTAGTTTTTGCTTATTGCTTTTATAAATTATATCAAGGTAAACTTGAGTTTCAAGTGAAATAAATATTGTAAACAAATCCTGTACCAACGTAACTATATGTATAACTTTACTGAAAATAAAACATATTAAAATTATTCAAGATGAAAACGAATACTAACGCCAGTAATCAGTTTAGAGGAACTTGAGGTAATAATTGCGAATTACAGGTTATCAAGTATTGTATCTTTAAAAGTTACTAAAATTGTTGTTCATTTATCCGCGACGGTCTGAGAAAGAAATTAATTAGCAAGATTTTTAGGAAATTAACATAAAATAAATGAATCGACACTATTTTCTTTAACTGACTGTTCCAATCTTGGCATTAGGCTTGTTTTGCTCATCACTACTCGCCTAACGGAAACCTCTAGTTACAAATGTGTAACATTTTGACTGACTATCAATTTCCGGGCTTTTATTTGTAAAGATTCACCCTGTATACCCATTAATATACGGAAAACACTTTTTTTTTTTTTTAACAAACAAACATAAACTGTATGATTTGCAACAATATTCGCGTTCTGAGAAATCAATATTTGCCCGTTGAAAATGCATTTTGATTCATGGGAAAACGGCAATTCAATTGTCAACATTATCATTATCAACGCCAAAGTGAATCCATTTATTGACTTTGTATGATAACCTTGCCTAAACTATCTCGCGTGCAGTGGGCTTTTTGAGCGTATGCACCGAATAAAAGCCGTTTACCACATCAGTGACTTTATACGTACATCTCCTTAAGGTCAACATGTCTGTTGAGGGCCGTATTAGCCAGGTTTTAGTGTAGAAACTTGTTGTACTGTATGATGAGATATTGCACATTTTAGTTTACATCGTCTCGTACAGGGTGTTTTTTGCAAATAATCAAGAGATGGAATCGGATGTGGACCTACAATATTGTCGAATTTTTTTTTATCTAATTACCCACTGACAAATTCATACAGAAAAGCCTATAAGAAACTTACGTGGAGTTCTGTGGAATTAAACCAAATCGTTCAAAAACCTAAAGCGCGTTTCGATGCCTAATATTTCATCCTCAGGTACCGACACCTTGGGCTAGAGTGGATCATAGTATTTTATTTAATAAAAAGTTTACTAAAAAAAATAGACTGACGGGGCTCTTTTTTTTCCATTCTAAGTTAAAAAAATATATTTTTAAAGCAGAGCTTATTAATTTTAATTCAATTAACTTAATTCAAAATTAATGTATAGTCTCTTCTTGAGACTAACAATTACCTTTCGTATTCAAGTAAACTACTAACAAAAACTCATAGATCTTATTTCTACTTCCTTAGTAAGTATTTCTTCATTTAAAAATGAAATTAGGATGTTAGAGAGGGGGGGCTATGTTTTTATTATAAAACCCTGGAATCCTAAATATACGACTTTCCAATTCCTTTTTGTTCTTTGAGAAATTAACCATTTTCATTAAATTAAATCTTAAATACAAGAAATAATTCGTATCTACTCCTTCAAGTACGCTTAATTATTTTATTATTTATTTATAACTGATTGTTAAATAGTTCAACAAACTTTTCTGACACACACACTGCGATAACAGTATTGTTTCTGATAAGACAGTAGCAATGTCGTACAAAATCTACAACAGTGAAAGATAATTTCGTAATAAAGTAGTAGATAATAGTAATTTGGAAACTTTCATTGTAATCTAATTTTTGCAGCTAAAAGCTTTAAATACAAGTTTAAATCAATTGCATTAGTTAAATTTCAGTTCAATGAGGATTACCTGATTCCATTAAGAACTTTAATGAAAAATCAATCACAAGACAGGCGTAACAACTTCTAAAAACATTAAGATTGTGTTTTTGTTAGAGAAGTAAGTTTTCAAAAAAGAATTCTAAAATTGACTACACTATCATTCGAAAAGATTTTCGTATATTTAAACTTTAAGTACTTATTAATAATTAAACAATAATTAATAGAGTAACTCATTAACTTGCTGCTTCTTAAAATTTGAAGTAATACTTCAAATAATAAAGCACAATAAACGTATGCAATACTATTCAATTTTCGTTATAAAATGAGGTCACATTTAAAATATTTCCGGTAGTATGTAAATATATCAAAACTAACAACAGATATCTGACCTTTGAGCAACATGCCAAAAGGTCAAGTTTAAACATTCTGTACACTATTTCACTTCAATAGTAAACCGATGTTAAGAAAGATAACGCCTGCCGCACTGGAAAAATATTAACAACTTCTTGTTTTTATAATAATGTACAGAATTGTGGCAATTTAATACGACACGTATGAAATATCTGAAATTGTTGTAGATGGTATTTAAAAGTAAAACCGCGTATCTTACCGCTATTTCTCCTTCCAGGAAATTCTAAGTATCTTATCAGGCGAAATGCTTAAGTATTATTTAAACAGCGAAACGTGTTGTTTACTAATGCAGGTAAAAAGTAGTGAACATGCTATCTCATCTTACCACAATTTAAACATCTTATAAATCATAATTTTAAGTCATGAGTGCAATTTAATAGTAAATAATTAAAGATGGGGCAGATCCCCGGCGTTAATCCGGTACGACGGACCTTTTAGGATCCAGCCGGGTACCAGATGATGGTACTGGTATCCAACAGTGCCAGGTGATAGAACCACAGCGAAAAAAGTAACAATAATAAAACCATACACTTCTAATTATTAAAACTCGTTTTTATGGTGATAGTAGTTTTACGAAAGCACTCTCATACGTTAGTTCTGTCATGAAAGTAAAATGTCTAATTACTAATAATGATAGAAAAAATAATAGCAACATGGCTGAAATTGAGATATTAATTGCAGCAGTTGATAAAATAGTAAAACGGTAAAGAACTGTGAATGAGGAAGTAGATCCAACAAAGGAATACAGTGGGGACTTCAAAAGGACTAATATCAAGTAGAAGATTTATAAATTTGTATTTTTTTGTCAAAATGATGAAAGAACCTACTTGTTATTGCAAAAGTAAAGCTATTAATTAATCGAAAAATTTAAATTTAAAGAGCAATCTTTTAACTATCACACATTAATAAAGTGCATTAAAAAAAGAATACAAATTTGCGTCGCTAATTTGNAGAAAGTTATTTATTTTCTAAGATATTTTTTGTATGAAGCCCGCTTAGTATGATGTCATTTCCCTTCGATGTCATTATAAGCGGATTCTACTGTGCCTATTGAACGGGTACATCAAGTACGAAGAACATATTAGGATCTTGATGTAACTGCATAAGAAACATTAGTGGTCGATTATGTTTGGGACCGATTATGCCGTCCCGTCTTGAGATTATTGTGTTGTATGCTCTTCTTCCACTTCTCCACAAACATCATTATCTTTTGACGTTGTATTTACAATAATGATTCTTTCCAGGGCAGCCAGGCCAAGTGGGATTACACTACACGCACACAGCAAACTCTTGGGTCAGTTACTGTGATTTAGACAGTGGATACGTGAGCATCACTTGACCTTCTTTGGTAGATATCACAGCATCACCACGTTTTGTACCGAAAAAATTAGCGCATCATGAAAATGTCTTTCCGCACAGGTTTATAAATAACAAAAAAAAAATAATAATAAAATAGGAAAGGTTGAGTGAAGCTATGAAGACGAGAGGTTTGGTGGTAGTAATGATTTTTTGTGTGCTGTGTTTCGCAGATTCTCGCGAAAATTTGAACACTAGGACTAAACGTTCAAAATTTACCATCGATGAACTTTTAGTGAACACGTTCCCGTACAAAACGTCGTGCGATATCGATTTAGATCCTTGTAAGGCTGGTAAGTAACTTAGCTTAACCCTTATCGAAAGAGTCTATCCATTTGAAAGGACATTGAAATATCAATAATATACATTGTTCATAAAGCACAATGTCAGCTTCTTAATTCAATTTTAGGCAGATTTACTGAACTAGGACTACTTTTGGGTATAAAAAAATTAAGGAATTTTGTGTATTCTTTTAAATGAATATAAATGATAATAAGACATTTAATACCTAATAATAATTGTTAGCTTCAAAAATTGTTGCTAATTTTTGAATTATGAATAAGAAAACCTAGAGGAAGACAGAATTTTCAGGAACTAAAAAGAAAGAAATAAGAAATAGAACTAGTGATAATTAAAAAAATAGGTAATATGAAATTTCCATTAGAGTACCTACTAAAATCATCTTCGCCAAAAAGAATCTGTTAACAATATGGTGAATTATTGATCACATAACGATTCAATTGGTTAATACGTAGGTATTAAAAAAACACTTTATAAATTTTATTTTAATCAAAGGAAATCTTTATTCGTATGGGTTATTTCCTCGAAAATGCATTAAATCAACAAACAAGTCTATAAAAACTAAGAATTTATCTTGACTGACGTACAGAAAATTATGTATTTACTTCTGTATCAGGAACATTTAAACAAGATATTATCTCAAAAAAGGTCAACGGCGGTACAGCATCTCTGTTATATCGATACAGCGTTATTGCGTATACTTTTTATAAATGAATGATCGATATTGAAAAATTAAAGAGCGTTAATCAACTGCAATTTGTTCAGCCTCAAAATAAATCCTGGTTATATTAGAAACAAAACTGTTAATAAAATAAAAGAATAAAATAAAGCTGTAGTAAATTACAAATATGTATCTACCAAATTAAACTTCTCGCTTCATAACGTGTACCTACTACGTAGCGACTATTTGTATAACAATAAAAAACTCAATTATTTACCATTGAGTTTTTATGTCATTAATAGCCCTGCTTATTGTATCTTCATAAACTAACAGAAGCATTTCCTAAAGAAGAAATGTGGGTCGTATATTAAGCGTATGCGATAATTCAATCACATAAATTACAGGCAATTAAAGATTCAATTATTAACGTTCATACTATTTTGATTACCATTTATCTATTGATACAACGTAATTAAATTAAATACGATTCTGTAAGAATTTTTGACTTGGTTTTCCGTCTAATTGTAAACGATAATGTCAATGTTTCATTTCTGAAAGTTGTATGTGAGAAAATGATTCCCTATTTCACCTACGTATATTAAGGCAGTTACCATAAGATTAAATAAAAAGCACTAAACTGCTTGTCCAACAGACTCAGGACTGACAACCCCATGATGATAATGATGATCATGAATATTTTTATTATTTCAATATTTTTTGAAGGCGTTTTTGTTGTTACATTCTCAAAACTATATAACTTATTTTACACAGAACATCTAAAAATAAATATTAAAATTATATACATACAGAATTCGCTATAAGGAGCGACAGTATCGGTTTAAGGAAGTATACTACTAGTCGTAAGCCAATTTTTATAAAATTTAATTAGAACCAGTCGCCTTTAATAAAAAGAAGTCACTTCTATGCTCGCGAACGATTAATTTAGAAATTCGAAAAAGGTCGTAAAACGTGTATGTTTGGAGTACGGCGCTGTACGGGTGCGAAACATGGACAGTGGGCGCAGCGGAAAGGAAAAGATTAGAAGCGTTAGAAATGTGGTGTTACAAACGAATGATGAGGATACCGTGGATAGAGAAGCTGTTAAGTCCTAATAATTATCTATATTTTTTACAATCATTTTAAATCGAAAACTTTTCCGTTTAGTTAGATTTAGTGTTATTATTTACTTTATTTACATTTCTTTGGTCAGTTCAACTTCAAACGTTTGTTCAAACATTTTAAGTCATAAATTCCTTTGCTTTATTATTTGGTTTTATAATATTTTAGAATAATTTCATTGTCATACAGACAAAATGTACGTTATGAATTCAATAATTCCTGGTAGCATAAATGAGGTTTTTCTATCACTAGTACCTGGCTTTGTTAGCTCATTCATACCTGTTTTCAGAACTTTTCTGTATCTGGTTGAACACCCTCTCGTCTATGACGACATTCAGGAAATTCCTTCATTTATCCACCACCATGATATGTTTCATTTAAACTCCACCCCCTTTCTTTGTTCTCTAGTTTTTAAGTAAATTTAATATTGTTAGTTAGTATGTAAGAAACCTTCTAATTAAACACATCAACTCAAATTCGCTACTAGTTTTATTTAAAACATTCTAGTAGAACGGTAGTTCAATAACGCAGCTTCCGAGCGGTCTCCGGATAATTTTTTATCTTACGACTGCACAAAACAGAAGCTTAGAATCGAAAAGGAATTACAAAGATTAGAAGAACAGAGGACTCAATAAAAAATAGGCAAGATAGGTTGGTAGGACACCTTCTCAGGCATGAAGGTCTAGTTAGAGACATATTAGAAGCAGAAACGGGGGTTAGGAGGGGTAGAGGTAGACCTGGATTAGATTACTGTTCGCAAATAGTTAAGAATATGGGTTGTTCTAGTTTTAGGGGAATGCGAAGATTAGCTCAGGATAGAAAAGAGTGGAGGTGCGTGTCCAACCAGTCTTAGGACTGACGACTTTTTAATGATGAATTAGAACCAATTCGGGAGCATCTCTTTTCAAATAAAAAAGAAATCCTGCAAATCACATCGTGGCGTATTCAGTGTACATACATAAGTATACATAAGGTTAAATTACAAATCCTCTCCTATTTTGATGTTTGTTAAAAATGAAATAAAAATAAACCCTATTTATTACAGCTTACCATGACATTTAAATATTTGAGCCATTTTAAGAAAACCCTAAAAAGTAGTAAGTAAATTTTAATCGTTATCAGAAATTAGTTTCCTCAACTTAATAACGAAGAAATCAATGAATAAATTTCTATTGATAGTCTTACAGGGTAGTTTTCAAATATATTTGAAATAGATCAGTATATAATAAATAAGGTGCCAATATCTATAATTCCAGCATACGTTAGATTGTATTCTAATTCGGTGCGGCTGTCTCGTCCGATATTACAAGATTCTAAGTATAACAATGTCAAACTAATTGTTGGAATTAACTAATGCGCCAACGTCATACGTCAAGAATTTTGTCGTTTAACCGGAATTTTAAATTAAAAACCTTTTAAATTTAAAACGGTAGAAAATTCGAAACAGTTTTGATCAACTTACAACAACGAGGACTAAACGCGTTTCGGATGGATTTTATTTATCTCTGCTGCAAGAACATAACCGACAGAGTACCTACGCCATTCCCTTTCGCTTAGCAAAATTTCTAACGCAACCCAGGCAGCATTTAGCGTCTGAAACTAGCAACTAATTAGAGGTTGTTAGAGTTACACGTTGCTCTTTAATAGTCTGGAATATCCAAGCAAGCTATCTTTATAGCAATTAAAACCGCTTCACAAGGTTCGAGATAATTGCGAAAATCTGCGAACGTGTCGGGAGAGAAGGGCTTACAACACTTACTTTCGAGAAAATGTGCAACGCAATTACTTGCTCGTTAACAGATGGCGTTCAACGAAATCTGTGCGTTAATTGCCATTTTGAACATCAAACGGGCTCATAAGCAAATGGCAGATACAAATGAGTTTAAATCGCCGAGTACCTATTAAGTATTTCATAGAGATGTAAGAATAGAGCGCTCAGGAGGGCTGCAGGCATTAATCTAAGTGTGAGAGAGAACGCTCCCGGACCCCCCCCTTCCATGCCGATTTCCTTATATGATATAGAAAAAGTAGGATGTGAAACATGGACGCTGGTGGTGGTGGTATTACAGGCATATGATGAATATACCGTGGATAGGGATGTTACAATTGAGGAGGTTTTAGAAATAATATGAGAATACGAAGGACTAGCTACAAACATATTAGAAGCAAAGACAGGAGTTAAGAGGAGTAGAAGTAAGACTAGATTAGATTACGATTCGCAAATTCTTAGGCATATGAGATGTTCTAGCTTTAGGGAAATGCGAAGGTTGGCTCATGATAGAAAAAGACTGGAGGTGGAGCCTTAGGACTGATCCTCTTATCACACTGCAAATAAAATGAGGTAGCACAAAAAAAATAAATGCCTTATATCGTTGAATAATTGATACACACATACACACGCAATCTCTCAAACGTATCTACCACTACAAGTGGTGTATATAGAAATTTCACTTTAAAAAGGTGATGTATCCCACAACCTAGAGTCAAAAGCATACACGTATCAAAGGCTTATTTCATAAAAATGTGTTTTACATCAATACGACTACTAAATACTTAAATCTTCAATTGACAAAAGCCACTACCCGAAAGGATTCATCGATACAAAAAGCAGACCATGGAGTAATATAAAACAGCACACCGTTTCTCTTTTATTAAACGAATTAACGGATAAAAAAGGAAACATAAGGCATTAATGATATAAATCATGTTCAACGTAAAAAATGTAGGGGCATATTCTAATCATCCATTCTACATTTATATGTCCAAACTTAATGGTTTTTTAACAGTTAATTACAAAAAAAAACAAATCTTATAGCAATCCCCACTTTACAAATAATCATTCATTTTACGTCCCTTCGTCATTATAATTAATTCTAACAGTCGAGTGAAAAACTGCCCCTTTTTTACGAACAGCAATTTCAATTGCCTTTGTTTTTGAAGAAAATAAATTCAGACGAAAGCACCCACTTTACTCTGACAATAATGAGGACAACAACACTAAAAAGGCCTTTGTGAGCTGTTCCCAATTTAAATTCTGACAAGTTTTCGGCTGAACAGGTACCTGTAAAAAGGCTCTCGAAGGATTCGTATCATTAAAATATAATTAAAAACAGTATCAGAACTGGATGGTGTTGCTCGTTAAACGCCAGTTTAACAACGGCTTGTTCGATATGGAGCAGTGGCGTTTCGTAAATAAGGCAGGTACAAAATAAG